AGCCATTCTGAGTTAACGCTCCACTGGCGGTTAACTCATAACTTTCGTACTTTTGCTGCAGTACGAAACTTTACTTCTTTGAGATATTTGGTAGGAAATATTTGTTTAATTTTCCCTCGAATTCAAATTTGAGATGCAATTTTTCCATTCTCGAAGATAAAATAGTCTGGTACAGCGGTCTCAAACTCAAATTGCATGTGTGCTGAATGCACGATCTGTAAACAGCAGTTAGACTAGATTTATTTTTCTTTTTTTAACGAAATAAACATTTTTACTTCCTTGTACGAAGTAAAAAGGAAGTATTGTAATCGCGAAAAGTTTCAGGCAACATATTTCAACATGTATGTGGTGTGGTGGCGTATTTTAATTATGCCAAAGCACACTAGAGCTATCTGCCTAAGGGGAGGGATGCCTTTCGTGGAGGACTTTCTAAGGGTGTGTGTGTGTGTGTGATTATGGCAAAGCCTCGAGGGCTATCTGCCTAAGAGGAGGGATGCCTTCGTGGAGGACTTTCTAAGGGAAACTGGCTCGTATACACGTTACACATGGGGAAAACCACGAAAGCGCCCATGCAGCCAGCCCGTTCGCGGGATTCGAACCTCGGACCGAACTACCACTGTTCAGCGACTTTACCGCTCGGCCGCTAGTGGGCCCATATTTCAACAAAAATATCCATTTTGAACTCTATCGAATGCAATTTAACGATGTTTTTGCGTGATATCTGTACCTAAGGACAGAATAAAAGACTCTTTTCCTTCAAAAAAATTATAAAACTGCTTTAAAATTAATTCTGAAGAGAACTTTTCGTGGCGTCTGTACGAACGTATGTACGTACGTATCTCGCATAACTCAAAAACGAGTAGACTCAGAACGTTGACATTTTGTATATAGGACTGCTATAAATGTAAATGTGCACCTCGTATTTTGGTTGCAATCGCCGCACCAAACGTATATAAATATATTTATATATATATCCACTCTGTTACCCGGCTCAGTGATTTCAGTTTCTTTACTCTTATATGTTTGTAAATTGTATATATTTTTGCTTTAAAAATGATTGAATTATGTTGTTTTTATCTTCCGGTTAAGGCTTTTATGCCTTTCGTAATTCTGGAAGCAATATTTGTACAATTATCAACAATTTAAATGCTGTTTAAGTGCGGTTAAGTTTTAAATAACATGGCGGACATATTTGTTTACATTTGAAACAGCAGAATTGTAGATTTGTTGTCAATCTAGATAGACTAAGCTTCGCAACACAAAAATAGCGCCTTCATTTATTATTGCGAATTAAATCATGCTTAATCCTTTCTGGAATTTTTTCGAGGAAATAAGTGTTTCAGATTTACTTCGTAAATTTTAATGCAGATATTTTGAGTTTTTATGTATTTTTGTCTTGTCGCGAAGTGAGAACTGAATTAATTGAATGAGAAATACTAATCGTCTGTGAAAAAACTGTTTCTTTTCTGTTTTGTTTGCTTAATTTCTTTCATACAATCGTTTAGCTTTATTATAGTATTTGAATAGAAACATGTGGCAACGATAATTCTTCAAATGATATAAATTTTGTGCATTCAGAGTGTCGTTATAGTAAACAAATAAAGTGAATTTTAAAGAGTGCATTTATTCTATTGTTGTTCGCTGTAGACGAAGTAGATTTAATTCAATCCAATCAATTTAAATGAAATTCAAGAAAAAAATGCGTATAATTTAATATTCCGACAAGGAAGTCATGTGGTGTACACATCAGATTTTTTATTAATAAAATTGCAAAAATATTTTAAATAAATTTTAAATTTCTCTTACTAAATTCTCTCAAAAAGTATATAAACAATAATAATAATATCCTAAGTGAAAAAAGTCCGATTTATATTTATTTCTAATGTGAAATTTAAAGTTTCGTACATGCAAGATATTTTTCTTCGTTACATTTCGTAATTCAAATATATTGACAGCTAAATATTAAATTTTTAGACTGATAGCTACTTCAAATAATTCTAACATATTTATTTAATCGTTAAATAACTTTCTTTAATTGAAACTAAATATAAAGAAGTATGAAAACTTTCAAAATTTACTGAGACAAATTTTCCAAGTGGGACGAAACTTGAGAATATATAATGAGAGCCTAGTCCCTTTCTCTTATTAGAAATAGAAGTATATATATTTGTATGTAAATAGTTATAAGCATTTTTATTTCGTACTACAAGTGACCATTTAATGACGTATAGATTCTGATGGAGCTTGCAGTCTTGGAGAAAGTTTGTTAGAAATTATCTTCCTCACAGATTGCAGGTACTTAGAGGACAACTGGGTTCTTTACATAAACTTTAAATTGTGGAAAAAGTACTGTTCGTATATAAATGTACTCACAAACAAGGTAATTATTCTAAGTGCAAAAATTTGTAACCGTGCTTATTTATTTTTTGACAAACACAGATAAAAGTTATAACTTCAAAATTTAATAGAATTTATATCATAATCTAAATTAACCAGCTGCATTTATAGATTTTCTGATGCGCTATTAATTTTAGTTTTTTATGGCATAGAATATAATGTAAACTCGAATCTCAAAAAACGAAAATTTTGATATTTTTGCAGTATTATATATGTAAGAAATGCACAATTGAAATGTATTCGCGGGCCACATAAAATTGTTTTTGGGCTACATGCGACCCGCAGGCTATCTATTCCAGACCATTTGTAAATTTTGATAAACAGAAATTGCATTTTATAATAATAAAGTAAAAATACATAAATGAATAAATATTCACAATTTTTTCGTCTAAACAATTCCGTTTGACACAGTAAAAGAATACATGTTGTTTACAGATTGAAAGTTGTGTCCTCAAAATTGATTCAAGAATTAAAAAGTGGTCAACAGTTTAGTAAAATTGATAATTTCTCCACCGGAAGATTTCTATATCGATTATCGTTGAGCCCATCAACGACAGAGCGATAAGGCCGCTGAACATTGGTGAGTGAGTGAGTGAGCGCCACCAAGGAAGACCACTGACCTGGCCTTAGCCTCACAGTGTGTTATCTTCCTGGCAGAAACCATCTACTCTCTGCTCCATCCTGCTCCGGGAACGCAGCCGAATAGACGGCTAAGAGCCTCATAAAGTCTACATATAAGCTTGGATGTTGTTGTACGGGGAAAGAGTATCCTGTTAAGAACTACTTAAAATTAAGCAAAGAAGCAATCATTTGAACTAAGGCTCAAGTTCCTGTGAATGGGTTGTCTGTTTAGGAATTTCCTTAGTTTTCTCCCTGTGTAACGTAAATGTCAGCCTAAGAAGAAAGGCATTCTTCCCTTTGGACGAATAGACTTCATGTGCTATACCATAAACAAAATAACTGATTCTCAGTTAGAATGACCGCTGAATACTGGAGATTCACCCGATTTCGATCCCAGGCAAGAATGGGCTGGCTGCAAGGTTGACTTTCGGGATTTTCTTCATGCGTAACGCGAACACGAGCCAATTTCCCGTAGGAAGTTGTCCACGAAGTTATCCATTCCCTTAGGACGACAGCACGTGTGTGTTTAGCCAGAATCCAATAACCTAACCTATACTTTCGTTTGAAATACTTAGACATCTTTAATCAAAAAGGGGTTTGAATCTAAGAACTCGAGATTAAAAGGGACTCATCACCTAAAGAAAGGGATTAAACTCACGCCGACTAAAAGGAGTTAAGCTCATCTCAGTGTCTCCTTTGAACCTATCAGCATCATTATATGGATTATTCTTCGGATTTGCAGGGGAAATGTAGTAAAATGATGACGCTTCTATAAGAGAAGAGAAATTCAAGAACTTAAATTAAGCCAGCTACATATTTTACATAGTTAGGGAAGTAATCTAAAGCTAAAATCCATTTGCATCTAGCGAATATTAGTTCCTTTTTCTTACTTATTTCCCGCGGAGAAAATTATCCCCTCTCGATTGAAATTAAGAAGAGAGAAAAAGGAGAAAGCAGAGAGGAGAAGGCACTCCGAGACAGACAGCCTTGCCGTTTTGATCCAAAGCTGAAATTTTCGTATATACGCTGTCTTGCATGGTATGGGGATCAAACGTTTTGAACGCATGTATACCACTTTGTCGGTACAAGAACCTATATTTTCGAACCCATATATACGGGCTAGCCAGTTAGAGGCTCAAAGAAGATATAAGGTATTTCTGCCTTTTTTTTGGCATGCCTTCGTGGTGTGGTGGTCTGCACCCTGGGCGCGTATTCCCAGAGGTCCGTGGTTCGATTCCCGGCGAGGGTGTTTATTTTTATCTTTCCTGCTCTAAAAGATACCTAATATCTCTACAGTGGCGCACGAACTAAAAGGGTGGTGGATGATGAATCTCCACTCCCAGGATTTGGTGTTTGGGTCCCCTAAAAACCTCAGTCGCCCTTTAAAAGGGGGGAGTATATAAGATATTTCTATCGCCTTCTTGGCATGCCTTCGTGGTGTGGTGGTCTGCACGCTGGGCGCGTATTCCAGAGGCCCTTCGTTCGATTCCTGGCGAGGATGTTGCTTATTTTTCATCTTTCCTCCTCCAAAAAATACCTAATGTGCGAATGTACATTGTGTGTAATAGAAAGAAATGAAGGGATATGCCAGTCCTCACGCTTGAAAAATCGAGAATGGTAACATAAAAGACTCTTCTATACAAAATTTTTAGTGAAGTTAAGTTGAAATCCACGTACTTGAATAAGTTAGACACGAGTGGTCATCACATTTTTAATGCACCAAATTGCCTTTCTTACAAGCGTAATAATTCCTGGAACTAATTTGATACATGGAACATTCTTTACAGTGTCATTTTTAGATGGTTATATTGTTATAAAATTAAAACACAAAATTACAGACATTTAAAAAGAAATAACTTCTAGAGTATTGCAATTATTTTCTACCTTTTCATGTTTGAAGAATAAAATAGACTTTAAAGACTCACATAATTATGACCGTGTTTCAATAGCCAGGAAATAATATCCAAATAGCGTAAACTTACCAACAATCAAATGGAAAGTATTGTGTTATCCGATGTTCTTTCCACAGGTTAAATACCCTTACCTATAATATCTCTCAGGCGAACGTTCATATATATATATGTATCTCAACGGCTACGGTTCCGAACAAATTCGACAACGTCTAATAATTCATTGTTATTTATATTATTCGTTCCTTTTCTTTCTGTCGATTTAAATGGAATACTTCCCAGTATCAAAAACAAAACAAAACAAAACAAAAAAACTGATTGAAGAAGCGCTTAATAAGGCAAAAAAATCGGGGAAAAATATAAAGTGCAATATATCACCCATTTAAGTTTCTTGATCCGTCTCGGGTCCTCTGAGAGGACGGTTGGGAATTCCAAAAATACTTTTTAACCCACCCGTCGGAAAGCGTGCCACAGTTTCATCTTCTTTGCGCATGGTTACATTTCGTCCAGGTGAATGATATAAGGAAATAGGTTTTGTCTTTTGAACCGACGTTTCTAAACTGTTTAGAAATTACTTCCTTACTGTATATTGACCATTAATCTGAACTTAAAATTTTAAGTATGAAATATATTTTACTTTACTTCATGTCAAAAATGGCTGGAAAATAAGTATTTCCTCATAATCTATTATTTGTAATTCTTCAATTTTGGCAGCTGCTCTGATTATGTTTTCACGTACTGGCAGTTTTCCATCTTTACAAAGTGTGGCAAATAAAGAAAATAAAGCTCGCAAAATCTTATTAAAATTAATGAAATATAAATGTAAAATTCCTATTGTGAAATAACTACTCTGGAAAAAAAAAAAAAAAAAAAAAAAACCCTTAGTCAATAAATACGTATTCCATGGAACGTGAACTATTCTGGAATACTGTAATAAAACATATGCATTATAGTTTGATTTGGAGCATAGATAATTTTAAATTTATTGGATGCATTTTATAAGCAATTAGTAAATCCGCTATTTTCTGAATCGAATAATGCTTTAAAGTAAAATGACCAACCAACGTACATGTGTCCTGCCCAAGCATTTTTTTTTAATGCTGTCATTTTGAAAACATTATTTTTAACCGCAAACACTAATCAGCTAAATACACCCACGCCCCATACATTTTTTCCGCCTTTTTTATTCGACATTTTGTTTTTCTCTTTAACTTTCTGAGTCATAATAAACAAGGTGTTGATGTCATTGCTAAAACTGAAAATAATAATTAAAGAAACAATAAATGATAACTAAAGTAAACAATAGCTAAAGTAGGGAACTCATGACTTAAAGTTCATTCATTTCACAATGTCTTAAAACTAACATCAAAACAATTAACAGAATGATAATCATAAAATTAGATCATAATGACAAGGCTCATAACATCCTATAGACTATATCAAGTTTGGAATATGGGACTGCTATAGCATCTAGTTGTGCACCTCCCTTTTAGATTGCAATCGTCAGTTGTCAGTGATCAAACATATATATATATATTATATATTATACTCTCTCTATAAAGGATATGTATAAGTATATATACGTTTATGTATATTTTCTTGTGTATATATTTCTACATCTCTCTCTCTCTCTCTATATATATATATATATACTCTCTTTTTTGGGAACTAAATTTATATTTAATTTGCGTTCCGATTTTAACTTCATTTCAATTTACTATCAATATACAGATGGAGGACAAAATAATACGAACACCTGTGAAATAATGGGAAATATTTATTAATAAGGTGTTGAAACACCCTTTGACTGAAGTACAGATTGAATGCGACGTGGGATAGATTCATAAAGGTCATGGACAATATTTAAAGGAATATTAAGCCATTCCTCCTGCAGAGCGGTCTCTAATTCCGAAAGTCCGGATGTAGGTGGAAATCGGGAACGAAGTTTGGACTCCAAATATGCGCATAAATGTTCAATAATATTAAAATCAGGAGATTGAGGGAGCCAAGGGAGATGTTCAATTGCATCGCCATGCTCTTCGAACCATTCTTAAATACCCCTAGCAGTGTGGATAGGGGCGTTGCCGTCTTGAAAAAGCAGTCGCTCCCCAGGGAATACAGTCTGGACAAAAGGATGGACCATGGTCGCCTAGAATGCTTAGATAGTGATTGGATGTGATCCTCCTATGCAGAATAGCAAGTGGCCGAAGACCGCGCCAAGATATCGTACCCCATACAATAATGGCACCACCCCCATGCTTCACAGTGGACAAAAGGCAGTCAGGATGAAACGCTTCTTTGGGCGTTCTCCAGACAAAAACGGGTCCGGTCGTCTGAAATAGGGTGAATGACGATTCATCTGACCATATTACTTTTGCGACTGCTGTGGGGGGCCAGCCTTTGTGATCTCTGCATATTATTTTCCATTATTATTGGCGTCGCTTGAAAGCATTAGCTGCTGTCACCAAGGGTTTGCGAATTGCCACTCTGCCATAAATATTCGCAGCATGAAGTTCCCTTTTGACAGTTTTTGTTGAAACGGAGTCCTGGAGATGATTGTTCATTTCGGATGTTATCTCAGATAACGACTGCTTGTGCTTCCGGGCTACTATGCGTTTGAAGACCCGTCTATCCCTATCAGCCAGCTTTGACTTTCGGCCACTGGTGTGCTTTGAAGACGTCGTCTTACACTCTTTTGTGTACGCTGTCATAACAGCTGATACCCTACTCCTTGCACACCCCACAAGGTTTGCTATTTCCGTTACCGATGCTCCACTTAAAAGCGCTCCAGCTATCATTCCTCTTTGGAACTCTGACAAGTCTGACATTTCAACTTCTCACAGACAGTTCGATCGAAGAATGCAACACAGGTGACTGCTGTTCAGAGACTAATACCTACCTCCTCACGCACACTAGGTGGCAGACTTCTGTTGCAGGTGGCGCGGCTGTACTGCAGGTGTTAAATACGTCATACTTTTTCCAGGTGTTCCCATTATTTTATCCTCCATCTATATATATAAATCAATTCGCGCAATATCTGCGCATTATATTCTCTCAAAAAATTAATCAGCTATAGACAAAAAGTAAGAAATTTATTATCATATTCCCAAAGACTTGAAGGAAATGAAATTCAATACTAGTACAATACAAAATTCCCGATAAATATGTAAAAACATCAAGCAATTGTCACCAAACCAAAATCATTGTCGGAAAATACAAATACAGACAAGAATACAAAAATACGAAAAATATATAGGAAGATCAATATAATCAAATCTGAATCAACGTTATTAAGAGGCGGTAGATCAGACCCTGAGGGGAGGGATTCAACTCAGAGAAACTCCTGCTTTTCTGTTCATCAGAAATTAGCTGATGAACCATTCCAAATTATTTAATTATAACAGCCCCTCTGAAAATTTTGAATATCACCCGACGCAGAGGCATCCTGTTTATGAAATAAAAATACACTAAAACAAATCCATATCTAGCAGAATAAAGGACTATATCTTTGTAACTACAGTCCAATAAAGTAAAAGAAAACTAGACACTTTTTACTGAAATTAAAACTCAAATAAAATGTAATAATTACAAATTATATTAAAAAAAAGTAACAGCCAGTTTGGTGCAATTGACGAAATAATTTCGCTACGGCAAGTTTGAAATCTCCCGAAAGGGGAATGAAATCAAGTAATTTTCCATTTTTAGTTATGGAAAGCATTATACTAATGTAAGAAAGGAAAAGAATAAAAAAAGAAGAAAGGTTAGAAAAGAATAAAATCTTCACGTCATGGGCTTATCATGACGACTCAGAATAGAGTAGGTCCTCTGTTAATAAAAGTATAGTCAAGACAGATTCTATTTCATATGAAGTTGTTTTAATATATTTTTATTTAATAAATGGGCTGCATCTAAGGCGGGGAATCATTCAAAATTTTCTGGTGAACTGTTATAATTGAATAATTTGTAATGGCTCATCAGCTAATTTTGGATGAACAGAAACGCAGTGGTTTTTCTGCGGGAAGGGTTCCAGTTGAATGTGATCTACCTCCTCTTCAAAACGTTGAATCAAATTTTGACTGTATTCCTCTGTAGGGTTTATATTTATTTTAACTAACATTTATTTTAAGTTTAAACTATCTTTCCTGTCAAGCCTTACTTTCCCTGGAACTGCCAATGCCAGAGTATGTAAATTTTAGTAGTTAGAACGCGCAAGGATTCAAATTATCAGCGGAAGTATTCTGAGTTAAATAGAAAGGAAACGAGTTCGAGTGTGCTGTTTACTTCACGAGCGCGGAGTGTAGTTAGCAGAAATTGAAGAACCCCGCGTTTCGGCCTGTGTGCTTGCCTGGAAGTATTGCTAATCGTTCAAGTGATCTTCAAGTTGCTGAATTAGCAGCGGTATTAAAACGCGGTGAGGTAGTTACTTTTAGAGAGCCTCGTAGTTATAGTCTTGTCTTAGTTTCTTTTCAGGTTATTATTTTTATTTGACCGCCGAGTTGGCGCAGTTGTGAGCGTCAAGAGCAAGCCCTTGTAATTTATTACGTTGAATAAAAAGGGACTTAAACCCTTAACAAGACTCTGTCTTTTATCCAGTTTTCACAGTCACCTTTCACAGTCAGTGCAAGTTGGAGGCGCGCAACGCTACACCTCTTTCTATGTATTTTTTGTATTCTTATCCCATATGTGTAGTTTTCGAGAATACGTTTGGTTTGGTGACCTTTTGTTGACGTTTTTACATATTTATTGGAAATTGTGGATTTGACTGGTATTAAATTTCATTTCTTTTACGTTTTTGTGAATTTGGTCCCAAATTTCTTACTTTTTGTATATACCACTCTCTTACCGGCTTTTATTCTTTCAATCGTTAGGCGTAACCATATACTTCAACTTACACAGGTCTTCCAGATTGCGGAAATATTTATATTTTGGCAACGCCAAATAATAATAGTAAACAAAATTCAGTAACTAACGAAACCTAACTTTTAATATTGTATCCCGTATCCTATAAGTATATTTGGGGAAGTTTTATGCTCGTTATGAAAAAAATAAAAATGCAAGAAGTTTGACTCCTGTACAGCAGAAACTGACCGGGATGCATATTTCACAAGTGCACATCAGCGTAGCCACTGAGGGAGGGG